AACCAAGGGTTTTTAATATGGCACCTGTGCCAATAACCATTGGAACCACCATGGCAGGTTTATGCTATAATCTTTCAACTTCAGTTTTCAGATCTTGATATTTTGACCACCTCCATTTTTTGCCTTCCATTCTACTATCCCCTGGTATTGCCACATGAATTATTATTATTGGTAGTGTTTTTCTTTACTTCATAGTCCAGTTTATTTGCTGAAGGTCTCTTATGAAAGTAGTAAGCAAATTCAACCCATATTAATTTAATGACATGCCTGCCTTTAGTGTCATGTACGTTGTGAATGCTTGAATATATTTTATTCAATGGAGATGCTAATCCATAAACTATGATTTTCAAATCTCAGTAACTGAGACCTCAAACCATCCTCGGTCTGCCACAAATATACCTCTGTACAAAACAAGATTTCAAATAGGTAGCCATTTTGCACAAGTTTCCAAATGGACTTCTTTGGGTTTGTAGGAGGATGTGCAGAGTTTGTTGAAAACCTTGCAACTGAGCACGAGACAACTTCATCATATTTGCGGCCACTCCAAGGTAACAAAAAGTTCAACTGCAGTGCTAGTGAACTCTTGTTATTTTACTTTCTCTATTTCTAGCAAGTTAGCACACTTTTAGTATTTTATTCATCCTTTGTAATGGAGCAGTGAAAAAAATATTGTTAGGAAATCCCCAGTTCCTGGTCATGTATAATAATGAGAATAAGGGTAAGATTGCTTAGGCTAATGTACTGTAAAACTGTGGTTAATCTGCATCTTAATCTTGCTGGTTCTGTTGTTATAAATACTTTATTATAATATAAGTATTGTGATTTTTTTTTACATTCTCTAATTAGCAATAAAGCATTCCTCCAAGAAAAATGCAAAGGGCACTAAGGAGATATGTCAAAGGCCATCTAGTGCATTCATAAAATAGAATATTGATTTGTACAATAAAGAATTAGAAGAATATGAATGGCTCTTTCTTAGTTTGCATTTCTTACCCATGTAGATTCATCAAGACACAGGTCTCACCAGTCACGTACCTCTCCTAAAGAAGTCGCTCGAGCTATTTGTTTACCGAGTGAAAGCAATGCTGGCTCTCAATCATTGTCAGGAGGCTTTCTGGGTGGGCATCCTCAAAAATAGGGACTTGCAGGTAAGTCTGTGTGTATCATGAATGGCTCATTCATTCAGTTTCACCCATGTTTATTGGCCATTATTTGGGAAAACTTGAAAATTAATTATTGGATCTGATGCATATGATTTGGAAGTAAGCTTCAGAGAATCATTCGAATGTGTAAAATGTTGTTGTTTATAGCAGATGACATTAAAATGAATTTACTGAGCAAATTTTGATATATAAAAGAAATGCCAAACTTAAAATAGAATTGCTATACAAAATGTAATTGTTACACTGAACTGGGGTCTCCATAGAAGGGACAGAAGATATCATTACATCTTTCTTCTTCTCTGGCTTGTTTGTTCAGTAAACAGTGGCTCATTTGCTACAAACTGAATAATAGATCATATTTCCATAGGGATGACCTGAAACTGCTTCTGTCTTCCAGTAAAAATATTTTTCAGAAACGAATCCATTGAAAGTGCAAATTCAAAAGAGAAGCTTTTTTGAGGATGGGGGAATTACACTAACTATTTAACTATTGATCTTAGTGACTGACAGGTACCATCAGAATATAGTTCAAATATTATTTACTAAAAATATTTTCAACTGAGCTTTCCAATATCAGAATTGAACTTTTGGAGCCAGTACAAAATATTACGGGCACTTTCACAAAATGCCTGTGATGATGAGTGTGGCCAATCACAAATCTCCCACCTTTTTGCCTCTCAAGATGCTCTATGTCATCTTACTCTTCTCTCTCTCTCTTTTTTTTTTCTTGGCATACTTTGCCGCCATTTCATTTTTTAAAAATGTACCTGTGGTCTTGATATCTAGGGAAATAACAACAGAGTCTCCTGCCCAAGAGGTCTATTTGGCTCATTACATAATGCAAATGGGAGCAAGAAGTGCAGATATTGTACAATGAGTTTACATAGGGAGGGCAGCTATGATTCATACAGGTAATCCTAGGCTTAGATCTGTTCATTTAGTGACTGTTTAAAGTTACAACACTGAATAAAAGTGACATGACTATTTTTCACACTTATGATTTGAAGCATCCCCATAGTCACATGATAAAAATCCAGATGCTTGGCAGCTGACTCATATTTATTATGGTCATGTGATCAACTTTTGCGACCTTCTGACAAGCAAAGAATCGTTGCGATCCAGTGGGTGACTATATAAATTTTCTAAATAAATAAAGGTCAATGGGGAAGCCAGATTCACTTAACAACTGTGTGACTAACTTAACAACCACATAGATTTCCCTGCTCTTTCCTACCCTGGTATTCCATTCTCCTGTTAGTGATTTTCAAGATCAGGATTGCCTGACCACAGCCACAGAGGAAACAGGCACGGGAACTGATTTTCCTTCTCTACCACTGAGGTTTTGTCTGATAAGGATGTTGATCAATTAACTTCTTTGCATTGTAGTTAACATCTTGAAACTTCTCAGATATAAAAGCCATTGGCATGAAGACAAATTCTAAAATAGCCTCAGCTCATCAGTGAACTAACATATTGATAAATTTCTATGAACTAATTTCCAATTCATTGCTAGCAAAATGTCAGTCCATATTCATTGTCTCCTTTAGCATGCTCTGGGATTCATTTCACCAATATACAGCATAACCCACACAATATGGTATTGCAATTCCTTGATTATCAATTACTGTATTTTCCTTGCGTTGTACATTATAGGAATGGCAGCCTATACTCAAGCCCTATTCACCTTGTTAGAGATTCCGGTATTCTTTTTGGAATCACATAGTCATTTAATCTATTCTAGGGAGAAGAGATCCTTTCACAAGCATCACAAGTAACCGAAGCAGAAGAGACAGAGATGCCTACACCCTCTCGAATGGATCCTGGAGAGGTATTCATCTAGAGGCAGATTACTTACTTATGGCGATGGCTCTATACTTTGCTTTTGAAAAAGACCAGAATGATTTTTCCCAAAAGATGCTGGCTTTAGAAGTAGTGGGCAATATAAGGAAAATAATTAATACAAGGATATGTAAGATATTACAAACTATTCCTTTCTTAAATTTATGAAAAATGGCAACAATCCTACCCTGTTTTAAAAAGTAACAAACATGAAAGGGCAATTGAATTCCAGCTCTCCTCTGTTTTAGTTAGGTTACCACTGCTAAATATACTGTGTGTCAGAATTGTTAATCTATAAAAACACAGAAGCACTAAAAATCTGACCATTGACATTTTAGCAACATTTTTTTTCTGAGTTAGACCTTTACAATTTACACTTCTTATCCAGACAGATATTGACATGTTTTATTCTGTGACATTTCATAAGGTAGTGCTGAAAAATCAAACTCAAGTGAATAAGGGTTTTGCAAGGATTACTCAATGTTTACCCTTCAGAAGATGGGGGGAGGGGTTGGTTCACCTTTATATGAATCAAATCTTTCATTTACAGAAATAAGACTAATCCTGGTAATATGGCTACACAATTCCATTTCTAAGTTATGGTGCAAGCATGATTATTTTATTGCTTGGATTATTTTTATTGGTCTTAAATCAGTTCCCATTGGTCTAATTTTAAAATATGAGTAAAATACCCAGTTCATTGAAATGTAAAGAATTAAAATTAATAGAGGTGTAAAGAATTAAGATTAAGCATGACGTCTAGTCTGTTTGTCTAGGAATGGAGAATTTATGACTTATATTCCCAAGTCTTTGTTGTTTAAACATTTGGCATTTTCCCCTCCTCAGGAAAAGGAAGATTCAGAGGCTGAAGATAGAGTGGACACCAATGTTAGTGATGAAGACAGCTCTGATTAGAACGTGCTATAATTCTGGATGAAATTTTTGGGCTTAGATTATTGGAATTTATATCTATATCCCAAGAAATTTATAATTTGTATCCAGACAATATTAAAATAAATTGGATGAGCTAATGAAAGTATTGTCTTTTAATAATCAACTCTTAGAACTACTTTGAAAATGAATATACTGTATTGAGCACTTTTTTTCTCCCTCTGTCTTTTTTTTTTTTGCATCTCCATACCATCCCCCATAAGCAAAAAAGTACAAGTTTTACTTGAAGTGTCACAGTCAACATAACTTTCTTACCTGCATTTAACAATTGTGTCAGGAAATGATTCCAATCCTATTTAATAATTCATGTGGTTGGATATAAAATAGGAGATACCTTTAAGCTGACATTTGTTGGTATCAAATGTCTCAAGTGAAAGACAGACATTTGTGATCTCAAATAGAATATAAAAATTGGGGATTAGAACATTAAAATAGTGCTGGGTTTATATAATCTTATAATAGAATATCTTTTTTTATAAAAGCAGAAGCTGATTTCCATTCATGTTTTTTAATCACATATGAAGCAAACTTGCACAATCAAGCACAGTGAAATTTAGTGATTCCTATAGCATCCAATATGGTTTCTTGAATCAATGTACTGCTACAAAGAAACTCCTCCTTTTAGTTCCATTTGAAGACTTTGTCTTGAGATGTCACAGTCGGATGTAGGCTGACCGAGCTGATCTCACAGGGCTATCTTGGAAATAAGATGGGGTGTGTGTGATGTTTTGAACTCCCAAGGAAAGTCGGAATAACCAACGTGGGGGGAAGAATCGTGACCAAAGAGTGCAAAGGTCTCGTGGCCTCCCGTCTTTTTGCAACTCAAATCTGGTATAGGTTGCATCATAAAAATTTCACACAAAAAATAAAAAACCATCTATCCCAACGCGAACGAAGGGACCTGAGAATCAAAGCCAGAGCCCGCAGAAGACTCGCCCAGCTTGTGAGATCAGCGTTGCAAGCTACTTCCGGGTTTCAGTTCCTCCGGCAGCCCGTTGCAGCCAATAGTGGTGCGGAGGTAGAAGCCGCGGCGCGCATGCTCAAGAATGGGAAAGGAAGGGGGGGCTGCGCCGGGGAGCGTCGTGCGCGCGCAGGCGTCCTCGCTTATCGGTGGGGAAGCGGAGCTTCTGCCAGCTGACTCGGCCATGTCGGTCCAGGAAGACCCGGTCCAGCGCGAGATTCACCAGGACTGGGCGAACCGCGAGTACATCGAACTGATCACCAGCTCCATTAAGAAGATCGCGGACTTCCTCAATTCCTTCGGTGGGTGCGGGCGACGGCGGGAGGGAGGCGGAGGCGGACCCTCCTCTGCAGGGGCAACTGCAGGCGGGGGTGATGGGCGGAGCGGGTCCCTGTCCGGCCTTAACGGCGCTCTCCTCGCCCTCCCAGACATGTCCTGCCGCTCCCGCCTGGCCACGCTCAATGAGAAGTTGACGGCGCTGGAGAGACGGATCGAATACATCGAGGCCCGGGTAAGGCATCTCCCTTGCGCGCCGGCAGAAGCCACCGGGGGGAGCTCGGTTGGCGAACGACTCTTCCCGTGGGCCCCGTTGCAACCCCCCTCTAGCTCCCTCCCCCAGTTTTAATCCCCGGGCTCCGGCTCATCCGTTTGGGAGCGGTGGGAGGCTTGAAGTTGCCTGGTCGCTGCACCTGCGGGTTGGGCAGAATCACCCAGGCCGGCTGCCTCTGGGTGAGTCAGAGGTTTTTGTCTTTTGGGGACGGGGAATCTCGGTTTTTAGCCTCGTGACATGGCTGCTTTTTTCTTTTAAATGAGGTAAAGTGACTTTCCTGGGTTTGATAAAATAATTTCCTGGCTGAATATATAGTCAAAAGCGTTTGGTGGGTGCTGCCTTTTTGAGCCATTGTTTTCTTTCTTGGTGAGTTTTATATCTCGCCTTTTTTTAGGAGCTCGAGATGTAAATAATACTCTGTCCCATTTCCCCCCATAAAAGGCTGCACTGAGAGACAGTGGCCTAAAGTCATTTGATGGCTGAGCTTTTGAGGGTAAGCTTGACCCTGAGTCACAAGGGCACCATTCCCAACACACTTTTGATTTTGTTATTGGGGAAAAGTCTTGCCTTTAAAGACCAAATGCCTTTCTTAGTAGGCTTAAAAGCATTGAGTGAATTAGTTTTTATATAGTACCCAAACAACTAAAGTCATGTTAGCTTCCAAGCTTTATTCATGTTTCTTAAAATATAAACTTTGCTTGCTTCCAAATGGAGACATAAGGTCACTTCTGCTTCCTCAGATATATTCCAATGTAAGCAAACTTTTTTTTTTCCTTGACAGGTAACAAAGGGTGAAACATTGACATAGTGTGAAACTGGCAAGAAGTCAACCTAGGGAGAGGAAAAAAGTGCAGCTGTTTAGAAAGCTGATGATCAGACTTCGGGTTTCTTCATTACTTAACATGGATGGGAGTTAACTCATTTTTGCCCCTTGGGAAGCTGCCTCCTCCGTTTAGAGACTTTGGGTGATTCCAGCTGAAACGGCTAAATTGTACAAGAGCATGTTTAATTATGTGGTTTTATACAAGCAGATTCACACAGTTCTTGTCCTATTGTGTCCCATGTACACACGGAACTCTGGCTTCACAGCAATTAAATATTGATGGAACACAATCTTAATTTCTGGGAACACTGATTATTACTATGAATTATTTTTAAGAATCAGGATGTTAGGGCTATGCATGGTGTGTGGCTCTTATGGCTCGCTATTGCTGCTCCAAGATATCAAGTAATCTGTCTGAATAAATGTGCAGTATGTGTAGGGTGGGGTGGGCTGAGGGAGATTATGTGCCAAGGGAGGGATGACTCAGTTTTCTAAGTATTTTGTATTCTTTAATGTAATTTGAGATGTCTTTTCCATTTGTGTTCAACAATAAAATCACTTCTGCTTAACACATCTGAACATTTTTTTAGCTAATTGAAGAATATGCATGCACTTGATATGGTCATAGAGTACTACATAACCTTATACCAAATTTGTCACATTCACATTTCATGGCTGTTTTATATTACAATTCTTGTAACATCTTGGAAATTTTTTGGTTCCTGTGCTTCCCCCACCACCACTCCCCAAGGCAAGAATTCCACAGGTGTGTATTCAAACCCTCCAAACAGGTCCTCGGACAGCACCTCTGTTGTACAGGTCCAGATTCCAAGCTCAATACAGCAAGAGTCACTGGGTAACCAAGTCACACACAAAGTCCAGGAGTCAAATAGACCAGGACACATTGCTCCAGAAATACTCAAGTCTTTAGAATGGGGTTAAGTAGGAAATCCCAGTGCAGCCCTTCATGAGAGACAAGGAACCTACATTGAGGAAGACACAAACCACTTATAGGGTGAGAATGATTATTATCAAGTTTCTTAATGAATGTATGAGATTATTCAAGGTGCCTGCAAGTTGAAGAAAATAAACTGAGATTTTTTCCCCAAACATGAAACTATAAAAAAATGTTGAAGTTTCTAAACAGAATTGTTGATAAAAATGGGAGTTAGTTTAAAATGCAGATTTTCCTTCAAACTCACAATTTTGAAACCACAAGGAGCAGAGAAATCTTGGACCAGTTTAAGAGTAATATTATATCAGCCTAAATTCAGTTGGAAAGTGTGTGGTATAGTTTATTACCTGGTTCTGTTAGCAAGTAGCCGTATGATTAAGATACAAAATTTAACAATTGGAAAGGTAACAGCTTTCCAAGCTATCATCAAGAAAAATTTAACACTGGATTGGAACAGCTGGGAAATTAGAGACTGAATTAATTGAGGAGGAGGTTTTGTATAATATTTATACTTTGAAAAGATGTCTTCTATCTAGGGTTTAAATCACCACAAGCAAAGAAGACTCCTGAGGTCAATGCAAGGAATGAACTGTCTTGGAGATTAAAACAAGGAGACACAGCTGTCCCAAACGATTACAGAATGGATGATAAGGAGGATTCAAACAGAAGCAATAACAGAAAAAAAATACCAAGGTTGAGAAACACTGATGTATCACATACCAATTCCCACTGGGAAATGTCTGTAATTTGTGCCCAATTATGCTACTGTATATATCCCCTTTGTTCCCTGCCAGTGCACATATTTTATTGCTTTTAAAGTGTAGCTTCCCTGCCTTCAAAATAAACTAAATGCCTCCTTCGGTGGAGCAGTGCTGAGGGTGGGGGGAGGGGAACCTCCTTTCGGGCCTGCCGAACCCCAAATGTTTGCTTTCTGCCTCAGCTTCTCCTCCTTCCTGTCAGACTTTAGACTTTCATTTTCGTTCTTGGATGCTAGGACGACTCCCATGATCGGACAGTGACTCTGGATTGGAAATCTGGCTGGCTTTGCGCTAGTTCTCCCAGAGGTTCTTTTTTCAAGAGGCAACTGGACTCTCCGGTTTTTCTTTGAATACGTTTCGCTTTTCATCCAAGGAGCTTCTTCAGCTCTGATTTGTGCTGGTTCGCTTTTCTTCGGCTGCCATCCCGGACCGGTGAGGCACTTGGAGTTGCCCGAGCCTACGTAGAATTGGACAAAGCAAACCGGGAGCTCTGCTCAGCAGACCCTGGGGCGGGTGGGGGAGGGCGACCCACGGTCTATTTCGGGAGGGGACCGTGTTTATCCGAAACGCAGTTCAGATAAAAGCAGGGGCGCAGAGGATGGTGGCTGCTGCTCCCTTTGTAGAAAATGCCTGAGAACTATGGCCGCCAGCAAGGGAGGGAAGGGAAAGGCCGCGGAGAGGCTCGTTTCTTGCCGCTGGGGCAGAGGGGAAGGTCTGGCGGTGGTGGGTAGCCTCTCCTTTGCCGCCTCCATTGAGAGATTTTTCGACGGAGCGAGTCAGGGAGACCAAGCTGCAAAGCCATAACGTAGCAAATCTGTAGCAGCTATAAAGTTTGCGTTTACCGGTATTATGGCAAAGTTGGCTGGGATGAAGATAGGAATGGTATTCTTTCCAGCTGTTTTGCAAGGTCTGGGCTTCCCAATCTTGTTTTATCACTGCCTTTCTTACCTAGTTTCTCTACAACAAGGGTCTTCAAACTTGGCAAGTTTAAGACTTGTTGGACTTCAACTCCCAGAATTCCTGAGCTAACATGGCTGGAAGAGGAATTCTGGGCGTTGAAGTCCACAGGTCTTAAAGCTGTCAGATTTGAAGACCCCCTGCTCTACAACTTTTTCCGTTGAAAAACTTTCAAGGCTGTTGTTGCTTACCAATAGAGAAGCTAATGCTAGTACAGCTAGTCCTCGACCTATAGCAGTTCGCTTAGTGACGGTTCAAAGTTACTATGACACTGAAAAAAGTAACTTGTGACCATTTTTCACACTTCTGACCATTGCAGTATTCCCCGTGGTCATGTGATTCACATTTGGATAGCAATAGCAATAAGACCTATACATCACTTCACAGGGCTTTACAGCCCTCACACCGCTCTAAGCAGTTAACAGAGTCAGCATATTGCCCCCAACAATCTGGGTCTCCATTTTACTGATTTTGGAAGGATGGAAGGCTGAGTCAACCTTGAGCTGGTCAGGATCGAACTCCTGGAGTGTGCAGTCATTTAGCCTGCAGGCCTGCATTTTAACCACTGTGCCACCCTAGCTCTGTATGCTTGACAACCGACTCACATTTATGATGGTTGCAGTGTCCCGGGATCATGGGATCCCCTTTTGCGACCTTCTGACAAGCCAAGTCAATGGGGAAACCAGATTCACTTATTAATCAGGTTACTAATTTAACAACTGCAGTGATTCACTTAACAAATGTGGCAAGAAAAGTCACAAAACTCATTTAACAAAATTTTCAACAACATAAATTTTGGGCTCAATTGTGCTTGTCCATTGAGGACTACCTGTAATCATTTCCACAGATCCGCTAACAATAAGAGGAAACATGCCATTGGCAAAGCAGCTTTAAGTAAAATGGGAACTAAAATATAATTGCATTTAGAAACTTGAATGTGTGTTTTTAATCCTTGGACATAAAGGACAGAACGTTGCCTGTGAAGGGATAAAACTACAGTGACTGTATTTTGTTGGAAAATATAAAGGATAAACCTGAAAAAGGGGGCAAATTGGGAATACAACTAGCAAAGGAGCCATTGTAGTGCTTCTAGGTATTTTATAGAGGGAAGGTAAATAGTTATACAAAGAAGGCATGACTAAAGTTAACTTTACTACTTTTAATTCCAAAAATGTATCTGACCAAATTCGGAACTGTTCAAGTTAACACCAGCTGACTATGTAACCTGCTTGTTTCTACCATATATAGCACATTCTTACTTGGTTAGCAAACACCTGGTAGAAGTCAGGTACCTCCTGCTGTAGAGACCAAAAATACTTTCTGGCATTTTTCTGTAGCTGAGATTTCACCATGGTTTCGAATAGTACAGATTGCTGTGCAGATAGTCTTCAATTTATGCCCACAATGGAGTCCAAAATTTCTGTTACAAAGTGAGACAGTTGTTAAGTGAGTTTTGCCCCATTTTAGGACCTTCCTTGCCAAAGTTGTTAAAAGAATCATTGCAGTTGTTAAATTAGTAACACAGTTGTTAAGGGAGTCTGGCCTCTCCACTGACTTTGCTTGTTGGAAGATCGCCAAAGATGATCACACGGCCTTGGGACAGTGCAACGGTCATAAATAGGAGTCAGTTGCCAAGCATTTAAAGTTTGATCATGTGACTATGGGATGCTGCAATGGTTGTGTGAGAAATGGTCAAAAGTCATTTTTTTCAGTGCCGTTGTAACTTTGAATGGTCACTTGGTTGTAAGTTGAGGATTACCTGTACTGCTCCAAACCAAACCAAAGGCCTGGTTAAATGTGGCATCAGCCCAAGTTCTTTTTCTGCTCTTGTTTTAAAAGAAGACAAGACTGCGTTCATGATCCCAAGCCTGGCCCTGGTTGGTTTGAGTATGAATTGAAACTCAGACATGGTGGACGATTAATGAACGCAGGGTGGTTAAATGCCTCTTCACTACAGATTGTAATTTGGGTATTCCTCTATTCCACCCACCTGTCAAGATTATATAAAATCCTTTCTGAATCCTAATATTTACTTTGTTATTTTCTGGCCTCTAAAACATGTGGTGCTTGTAGCTCGGCTATCTCCCTAAAAATGGACACTGAAGGAGGAAAGATGAAGGACTTGCTTGTAGATGCTTTAGAATGTCTTGAGGAAAGAGACATTAAGATGTTTAAGTCTAAGCTGCGAGACGTAGCAGTTCCTCGGGGAAAGAAAATTCCACGTGGTCGGTTGGAAAATGCAGACCGGTTGGATCTGGTGGAGCTCCTTGTCGAATTCTATGAAGAGAAAGCTGCTACGCTAATGATAACTATCTTGGAAGACATGGGTTGCAAGAAAAATGCTTCCAATCTCAGCAAAGGTATGGATGTGTTGAAACATAATTAGAGTTGCAATCTAGAGCAGGGGTGGTAAATTCGATTTCATTGAGGGCCACACCAGGGTTGTGTTTGACCTTGGGGGACAGGGTGGGCGTGGCCAGCTTGATGTCACTCATGTCAGGTGCTCTGCCAGTGAAAACAAGCTCCCAAACTCTGTTTTCAGCCGCAACGGCCTCCTACCGCCCTCTGCCAGTAAAAACGGATCTAGGGAGGGCCACGTGTGCCCCCCCAAGCTCCATTTTCATTGGCAGAGGGAGGAAGGAGGCTGTTGCAGCTGAAAACGAAGCCTGAGGGGGCTGCACACAGGCCTCCATTTTCACTGGCAGAGACGCCGTAGGCCAGCCCGTTGCTGTTTCTAGGGCAGCCCTGTGGGCCAGATCTAAGCACCCCATGGACCGGATACGGCCCCTGGGCCTTGAGTTTGACACCCCAAGCTAGAGTGGGCAAGAGTATTATAGTATGGGCAATCTCTCTGTAGCTGTTAGCTGTACCTTAAGGGAGTTGCACTAAGAGAATATACATTTGAGTGAAGGAAGCCGTGTGACTGCACCTTTTTCTTTCGTAAGACCTTAACTAAAATGTTACTTTTCTGGCTCCTCACACCTACCATGCAAAGCCAAGAAAACTAAGAAACTGTGAGTTCTAGAACTGCGTTAGGCATGAAAGCTGCTTGAGTGACTTTGGACCAGTCACTCTCAGCCATAGACGCTCACAGGGTTGTTGTGAAGAAATTAGTAGGCAGGAGTATTTGGTATATTTGCTGCTGATTTAGGCATATTTGCTGCTGAGAATGAGAAAGAAAAGAAAAGAAAAAGGAAAGGAAAATAAAAGAAGGAAGGAAAGGAGGAAAGAAGGAAAGGAAAGGAAAGAGAAAGGAAAGAAAGAGTAGAGTGCTAATTAACTTTTATGTTTCCTTTACAGAGCTCAAGGATCAAATTCAAGGTATGTGAACATCTCATTATAAGGCATTGCAATTATTTATATAAATGTATATAAACCCTAAAATAAATGCATAATTTTGTCTTTATTTTGGGAGAACAGTTATGACATTATAGAAGAGTGTATAAAAATTTGATACTTGAAACATATTTCAAGTAGAAAACTAAAAACAATCTAAAAATTTCAGAGCTATAACTAGTTAATTAGTTCCAAATTGGTATTGGCTGTGATACTATTGGAGTAACGAAGGAATGATAATTTAGAGACTTGTGCCAGGGAGAACAGGTCTAGCTTAATTTTTGCCACATTGCTAACAAATATTAGGGTCTAAGTAAGTCTACTTTTATATATGATGAATGACAGAAGCTCTATAACATAGGGTAGATTTAGAATATAATAGATTTAAAAAAAAACCTAAATTAGAATTTGTATGTACCCAGCCTATTCTGAAATATTATAACAGACAAGCATTACATCTGCTTCAGGATTCCTCTATTGCTTTAGACAATGTGAACAAAACAAACAAACACGAAAAATTGTTGGAGGAATCAGTGGTCAATACCTGTAAAAACTGTTGCCCTCTATAAATATTCAACTCTCATAAACCCTAGTGCCTGGTCAATGTAGCCTTTGCTAGGAGGTATTAAATTGTGGAAGAATGATATAGATGGCTATGAAGAAATCCTGTGAGATGGAGAATCTCTTTTGATAGACCACTTAGGTAGGAACAACAATCATACTAGATGATGGAGCCTTCTCTTTGTTTTCTGGTACTTTCCTAGGTTACAAAAAAAAGTATGCCAAATACGTGAAGGAAGAGTGCAAAAATATAGAAGAAAGGAACAGTCTGTGTGGCGAAAGCATGCCTTTGAATTCATGCTATGCAGAGCTGCTTATTATCAAGAAGCATCAACCCCAAAAGCAGAAGGAGCGTGAACTCCTTGCCACTGGCAGGATGCATCTGGAAATCCTGAGAACCAATAGCCGTCATTTATCAACCAACCTTGAAGATTTATTTGACCCTGATGAATCAGGAATTCCAAAAACAGTGGTGTTGCAAGGACCTGCAGGGATTGGGAAAAGCACAACTGTGCAGAAGATCATGCTGGACTGGGCTGATGGGCAGCTCTATCCAGATAGTTTTGATTATGTATTTTGCATTCGTTGCAGGGAATTGAACTTCACTGAAAAAGCCATCAGCTTGACTGAACTTATTGTTGAGCAGTGTCAGGACAGAGATGCCCCAGTGGAAGAAATCTTAGCCTACCCTGAAAAACTGCTCTTTATCATTGATGGTTTTGATGAGCTTTCTCACTTTTTAGAATCTGAAGGTAACTTGTGCGAGAAGCCTAATTTAAAGGTGCCTTTGGAAAGTATTTTAAACAGCCTGCTGAGAAAGATACTCTTGCCAGAGTCCTTCCTCTTAATCACCACAAGGCCGGGTGCTCTAGAGAGACTGCAGGGTTGCTTGAAGTGTCCCAGGTTCACCGAGATTGTTGGCTTCTCAGAAAAAGGTCGCCGTGAGTTTTTCTCCAAGTTTTTTGAAGAGGAGAAGAAAGCTAATATTGCCCTGAGTTTCATTGAAAATACTGTTGCAGTGTCCACCATCTGCTTCATCCCAATGGTGTGCTGGATCATTTGTTCTGTGATTAAAATAAAACTGGAAACCGAAGATGAGATTGCAGGCACCTTGGATACCACAACAAAAGTGTTTTTGCAGTTTTCTCATATTCTTCTTAAGCATGATAATCCCAGATGGAGAACCTCCCCTCAAAATGAGTTTAGAAAACTTTGTTCTTTGGCCAGAGCTGGCATAATGCAACAAAAAATCCTCTTTGAAGAGCAGGATCTCAAGGAACATTGCTTGGATGTTTCAGCTCTTAAGGACCTCTTTTTAGAGAAAAGAGCTTTCAGGACAGGTTTGGGCAGGCGCAGTCTCTACAGTTTTTTCCATCTCTGTTTTCAAGAGTTTTTTGCTGCCATGTGGTATATACTGCCAGCGGAGTCAACAAAAGAGGTGGATCACATTATGGGCGACTTGCATAGAGTATTGGTTGAATGGGAGAAGCCAAATAATCAACATTTTGCACTAACTGTATGTTTCATGTTCGGCCTGACAAATGAAAAGACACACATCCTCTTTGAGCAAACCCTACAATGCAAAACTTCTGACCTTGTAAAGCCTCTCTTATTACAGAAAGCAGAAGAAGTAGCTGCTAAGGAAGTTGATCACCAACACTATTTCCTGCTACATTTTTTTCACTGTTTGTTTGAGAGCCAGGAGCCAGAATTTGCAAAGCGTGTGATGCATCACTTCCAAATTATTGATCTTTCCTTCAACACGCTGTCTGTGTTAGACTGCAAAGTTTTGTCATTTTGTCTGCAAAATAGTACAATTGAGGATCATTCCCTTATCTTAAATACCTGCAGGTTGAAATCTCATCACATCAAGGCTTTGGCTCCAGGAATTAAGAACTGTACAACTTTAAAGTAAGTGATCCATTCTTTCTGTTTCCAAATTTAAATTTAAATTGAAGCTGAGTTTTTTAAGAGTCTTTCATGCTTTGATCCTGCCTTTGCACACATTTTGAAAGAATCATTCATGATTTATTCCATAGAATTATTATATACACAATAGTGTGAAATCACAGCTGACAGTTATTTAGCTGGTGTTGATCTTCATACTCATTGAGTTCTTCCCAAGATGTTGTAATATATCAGCATAATATATGTGCAGATCCAAACAGTGTGGCCTTTTGTAATTATGTCAATGTGCAGATTTTGTAAAGTGCTATCTAAGATTTTTTTGGTGTGGTTCATAATGTGCCAATAACTGTAGAGTTGTAATTGCAGGAAGGTCATTATCTTGATGGCAAACCTCAGATAAGGACAAAAGCAAATACAACTCAAACAAAATCACTAATGCAAAGAAGGATTAGAGAGAGGAAGTAAACATGTGTTAGACTTTAACTAGAGATAGTTAATTGTGTTAATTACTATGCTAGACAGTAACAAAGGTTGAGCAACAACCAAAGTTAACCAATGTTAGAGGATTACTAAAAATGTGTATAAATACAAGACTAGACTCCAATAAAGTCATCATGATTCATTTGATCATAGTCAACAAATAACCACTGGGGCCATCACAGCTAGTTTATACCATAATTTTTTTAAACTTCAATTAATACTTTGTGATCTCTTCCAGTTTTTGTCTTCTATTCTATCCCCTAGTATTGCTACATCAATTATCCACTTTCTTCTTTTTAACCATGTTGCAGGTTTGGAGATAACAAACTTGGAGACTCAGGAGTGAATGTTCTCTGTACCATTCTGAAGCAACTGGGTTGTAATTTGGCTAATTTGAAGTGAGTAATAAGGGAGCAAAGGCACATCTAAAAAGTTGGGTGCATATTTTGTCTTGGAATAATTGGGTATCCTTATCCATCCTGATAACTAGCAGCCAATTGGGTGAAATTCTAAAGTAAGTAATTAGGCATTAGTTACTCAGAACTGATGTTCAGAACAGCCAATTAATCAATGTGAAAGTGAAGAGCAAGGCAGGGGTGAGAATAGCATGAGCCATTCCTAGAGAGCAGCAGCCAACTACTAAAAAAACATACAAAGATTATAGATCATCTTCAATTCCAGGCTACACCTGAGGGCCTGCCCTCAGTCAACTGAGGTAAAGGAATTATTTGCTTGGATGTTTGCTTTCTGCTGCTTACAATTTTCCCCCCAATGTTCCTCTTGAGCTGGGTGAAGCATAGCTTAATGAGGAAGGCTAGGCATTTCTTGTGCTGAATCTTCAAGTCTTTTTTGACCACATAATGTCCACAGGAGCTTGTGGGTTTTTCCTCATTTAGTAATGTATGACATGTGATTATTCTATATATGGTTCTATGTTGGTACAGACCTCAGTGTTATGACCACATGCAACTGAGATGGACTGTTTTTTCTCATAGGTTCCCGGGAAAATGTTTTGAATACTTTTATGAATTGGGATTTAACAATGATTCTCGTCATCAATGTGACAGTAGGGGAGGGGGGCTGTATATTTTGTGAGATCTCTACATTTTAGCCTGGGAGGGGAATCAATAATATTAACTGCCTGTTTGGCTTCACAGTGAGTATAAATGACAAGGTGATTTTTTTTTAGTTTAATTGATATACACTAACACCATGCATTTATCACTTAAGGGTACAAGCTAGATAGTGTTGGTGTTGGCTTGTGTCTGTGGTAACATTTTCTGAATCAAGTCTAAGGCATAGGGCGATATTCAGACCAGGAAGACTCTGTCACATCAGCCAAGGGTTAATTCAAATATAACTAGTTAAATTGAGGTAGGGGTGGAGAGTATCATCTGTAATAATCTGTTTCTCACACACACAAACATGAATTTATATGTGTGTGTTCTGATTTTGTTATCAAAAAAGGTTGAGCAAACTTGTAATGTGGTTTCTAATTTTCTCTTTGCCAGTCTTGCTCGCAATTACCTCACAGATGCTTGTTCCCAAGAGCTTTGTGCTGTTCTCAAAACTAGTCACAGACTTTATAGTTTAGATCTTCAAGATAACTCCTTCAGAGAGAACTCTGTCTCATTCATCCAAGACTTGATGAAAAATTGCACCACCTTGACTATTTTATGGTGAGTATTGATAAAGCTGGAAGACAACATTTGGCTTGCCTTCTGGGAAGTGGATAATATTATTCTGCAATTGTAGGTGCTGAGACCTAGTGGAGTGTTTGTGTCAGTTATCGGGTGGTACCCATTGGGTTGATCATTCCAAAGAGTGGGAGACTCAGTTACAGTGGTAATGGGAACATCATCAGAAGACTGGATTAGGGACACATCATGATGGAGGGAATCTATCCTGCCCATGACAGGAGATCCTATACCAGATAAGTGGTTTCCAGTGTTTTGTTGAATGCTTCCAGGGATGGAGTCATAACTCCCATAACTCCTATAACTACTGGGAGCAAGACTGATTAATTGTTCTGTCAGGAAATTTCTCCTTAGTTCTAGATTGGACCTCTCTTTAATGATCTTCCATCCATTATTTCTTTTCCTGCCCTCAGGTGCTTTGGAGAATAAATTTCAGTACCTTCAAGTACTGGAAGACTGCTGTCATAACATCCCTAGTCCTTTTCTTCCTTAGGCTAGACAGTCTTAGTTCCCTTAGTCACAAAGGTTCACACCAATTAAAAATGTGAAAATGGAAGAAATAAAATGGCATGGCGAAGCGCACAGTCACTCAACCGGTTGTTAAACCAGCAGCATCCCACCACTGAATATAGGCTCCCTCATCCTTCCTAACTACATTCAGGATGACCATTGCCACCCATGAGCCTTTTTCCAAAATTCTCATTTGACATAATGTATAAAGCAAATTTTCCTTCATGAAATTGAATGAAACTTAGTCTATAGGTTAAAGTACCATTAAGGCCAATTAGAGATGGCATGACAATCCATATAGGTAGTCCTCAACTTACAACCATTCATTTACTGACTGTTTGAAATTACAACAGGACTGAAAAAAATAACTTATGACTGGTTCTCAGACGTATGACCATTGCAACATTTCCATGGACGTGTGAGTAAAAATTGGGCATGTATTTATGACAGTTGCACTCTCCCGGGTCACATGCTCACCATTTGCAACCTTCCCAGCTGGCTTCTGACCAGCAAAGTCAATGGGAGAAATCAGATTCACCTAACGACCACATGATTCACTTAACTGCAGTGATTCGCTTAACAACTGTGGCAAAAAAAGTCATAAAATGGGATGTGATTCACGTAACTCCCTTGCTTAGCAACAAAAATGTTGGGCTTAATTGTGGTCATAAGTCAAGGACTACCTGTACCAAACCCTGGCCTCATCTCCAGCAAATCGTTGTTCCTTCTGCTTTTGTTTCTTTTCAGTTTGTTTTCAAACAGCTTTAATGTAAGAGGACAAAGATGCCTGGATCTGCAAGCCAAGAAGATAAATGAATCGCAACGTGACTTTCTCTTATGGATGTGACTGTATTTTGTGGCTTTTTGTGGCCAATTTACCTAGCATGTAAATTATAAATATCCAATGAAGGACTTTATTACAATCAGTACACGACTGTGGAGGTTCCTGTGAAATGTTAATACTGAATGAAGTAATGTAGGAAACACAGTTCTGTCAATATTCCATTATTTAAATTGTATTTGTTCCAGTTATTTTTTCTGTTTAATTGAATACATGTATTCTCTGAGGTCAGCTGCCAATGAGAAAAATTTGAAACTGAGCTACTTAGCATATTAATCCTCCAAAGCTAAACCTATATAGATAAAAAGTAATGAGGGAGTTAATATCACAGGAGTAGAACCTACTAGCACATATCACATAGATTAGAACATCATAGCACATCTTGGGGTATTTTGTGTAGGGTATTTAAATCCTCCACTGTGTAGGATTTAAATTTCTAATATAAAAATGAGCTATTATATCATAACCCCAGATTAGTCATCTCTTTGCCAGATTTAATGATCCTCTGCTGCAAAACTGAATAGCAGCCGTTTGCCTTAATCAATTATTGCCAATTATTTTCTCTGAGAGACAATCTGTCTTTAAATAGAATGATGTAAGATATGTTAAAGTGCTTCTGGTCAGATAACAAAACCTGCCTGTTTTCATCGAATCCTGGGTTGATAGAATTTCGTAATGGAATTATGAAACTTTTCAAATTCCAATATTCACTATTCCCTCCTCCCACCGTCAATTACTACTGACAGCAAGGAATGGAGAGAGTTGCTTGGGCATTTCACTTTGCTTCAGTTGCCCAAGTAAGATTGGCGATTTAGATACTATGCACCTTGACTTTGCAGCAAGAAGACAGGGTGTGCTGGCTTGAAGCAGGAACATGTCTTAGGCTTATTTCAATAAAATTATCTTTAAAAAAAAAGTTAAGTTGCTTTTCTGTAAAAAAGTCTACCTCCTCTTTTAAGACCATCACATACAAAAAACCCACACATCTAAAATTGTTTGAAAAGCTCCTTTTCTATTACAGTTGAGAAGGAACAATATCCATGTAGCTCTTTTTTTCCATTTGCTGTTCCTGCCATGGAAATCCTATTTACCATTGTTCTGAGTTCACAGAATTCCACTGTTTTGTATTCCAAGACACATGTTTAATACAGCTTTAGTTTTCACAAGATCAGTCAAGTCATCAATCAAAGAGGATTTCACCTTCCTTTTACAATGATCCTGCTATTCTATTTTCTTTGGTTTAGTTTGAAGTACAAGAGGTGATGCTCTTGTTCCTTCCTTTATACTCTAAAGGAGAAAATTGTCAACAACATGTTAGGAATTTCCTGGAGGTGTGTAGTGGAAAATCCACAGTGATTTTCTCCAAGACAATCTGTCCCCAACCTGGTCCTTTCAAATATTCCAGTGATGCATGTACTGCTACTATAATCAATTTTGCTCTGAGTGATCCTCATTTTTCTCTTTCCTTCTATCTTTCCTAACATTATCATACCAGAAATATAATAAATTGAGCCTGGTCAGAAACCCAGATAGTTTTTCCCCCATAATTTTCACAACAGTTTGAATCATAAATTTACGAACTATAATGGCATAGATTATACCAAAACTAACAACCATATTACGCTCTGGTTTACATAATATACCAAGCCATCAGTGTGATCTATAAATACAGGACGCCATAATGTACTTTGTGGCTTAATGTGTGAATTCAGCCACTGGTTTAAAACATTTATCATTTAGCATACTCAACAAACCATGCTTATTTAGGTTCACACAACTTCCTGAGCCATAAATTGAGGTCTTGTTTTATTTAGCCAGTACAAAACAATAAAAATTAGGTGTCCACAAGGGATTAACTGGCTCATTTTTCACTTGGTTGACTCATGAGCTACAGTTTGTGACCCTGCCACTGAGATCTGCTTTTCTTCTTTAAAGTAGCAAACATTTCATAGGTCATCATTGATGTTTCAACTCTGAAAGGGTAGAATATATTGGGGTTTGTTGTTTTTTGCTTTTCCTTACAATTCTGATGGAAAATTATGACATTGTGTGCTGCTGTCCGGTGATCGCCCGGATTACTCCAGACCTTAGGCGGGATCCTTTTTTACGTGCTCAGGTAATGCGTCTCGAATGATCGGGCTACCGCAGGGGAGCTGAAAGCCAAGCACTTGGGGGAAGCGAGAGCATCGTCTGCTAGCCAGCTGCAGAGAAGCCTGGGGTTCTCCCCGAGGAGGCAAGGGACAAGGGTCGGACCCGGCCGCGGTGTGTAGGACGCTGCTACGGTACTTGCTCGCGGGAGATCAAGCTGGTTCTCGAGGGCGGCGCTGCCAGTGGAACGAGGGAATCCACCCGCCCAGCCACTGCGGTTGTGCCGCCGCTTGGTGTGTCCCAGCTGGCGCTCCGTAGCAGGGCGGATGTTGTGAGGAACCGCTGCCGGCGGGGCTTGGCGAGGGAGCCAGGCGTGCGGTGGAGGCGGCGGTGAGTAGTGGCAGCGGTGCCCGGCTCTTGGGTGCGGGGGAGCCACTGCCGGAGGGGCGGCTGCCGTCGACAGGCGGCTCGCGGGCTGCGACTAGGCCCGGATAGCGGGTCAGCTGGGGAGGCAAAGAGCGCCGCGCCTTCTGACCTGCTCTCCCGCTCGCCTTTAAAGGCGGAGAAGCGAGCCCGGCTCGCCAGCCACGCGCGGGGAAGGCGGTGGGGCGCTTCGGGGGCTCGGTGGGAAGCCAGCCTCGCGGCCGGGAGGCTCCCGGTGAGCAGTCCGAGGCGAGGCTGGTTGCTGCACCGGTCCTGCCCTTGGCGTGAAGCCGGCCGAGGGAGGCCTTTTTCGGGAGAAGAGTTGCAGGCGAAGGCTGTTCCACTTCAGCCTCCTCCTCCTCCTCTCCCCCCAGTCCACAGCCTGATGATTGCCTTCCTTTGCTTCCTTCAGTTCCTGGCGTGCGAGCGGCACCCGGGAAAAACGTGTTTCATTTGTGTCACCTTCCCAAAGTAGCGTGGGAAGAACCAGAAAAAAAAAAAAGTATCTTGTGGACCGCCCTTCAGAGAAAAACGCTTTTCAGTGGGCTCTCGAAGAGTATTAACTTCGTGGGCCCATCGAATTTAGTGGGAAGTCACTCTGCTCAGACGTTGCACCTTAATCCTAAATTGATTTTAAGGCTTGATCTGAAGTAAGCACTGTCTATTTCAATGGGGGCTCCTTACCAATAATAGGTATGGATGAGATTGATCGCCAAACTGGAGGAGTTTGGAGCACAACAAACCTCCCAGTAGCTGAAAGGGCAACTGTGAAATCGGGCAAAAGGTCATGGGCTGTGGCAGGTGTTTCAATGCAAGGCTGATAGCTGATTTTTTTTTCTTGTTTTCCAGTGGAAATCCCAAAATAAACATAACCCTATACTTACAACCTTCCACATTATTTGGAAACCAAAATTATTGCATTATTATGCTGGTTTGTTGTAGTAATATTTCAAAACTATAGTTGTGATTTTGGCTCCCACTTGCATGTGCCAAAAGTTAAATGTAATTTGTTTTTACACAGGGAGAGAATTCTCCCCTGGATGTTCAGCTGTTAAGAGAAAACTGATTTAAGTATGGCTTCTTTCCCCTAGTTTACATTTATTTTTGGTAGTAAACATAGTTAAACCAGAACTTAAGGTTAGGATTAAATTTTGTAAAAATTAATTTATTCACATTATTCAATTTGAGTTGCTATTCATATAACTGCTGATAGGCAGAAATAAGTCTTAACTGAACTTAACAGTGGGAACATCTCAAATAGACACCTAACCTAATGTATTAGTTCATGTTTTGGTCAACTCTCCCTCCCTCCCTCCCTCCCTTTCTCCTCTCTGTCTCTCTCTCCCATAGGAAGGAGGCAAGGGCAAACACCTTCAAAAAAAAACTTTGCAAAAAAAAAATTTCAAGGCATTCAAAACTGAGTCAAAGGCTCACATTTCCATCAGCCAGGATAAGTTTAGTAGAAATGTTTAGTATTTGTGAATATACTGTGCAGGTAAACATATGATCTATAATAAAAAAAAATATTCTGCCTTGTAGTGTAGTTCAAAGCAGCACTGCAATCTTAGCCTAGTTTTTTACATTATGCTTCAGTCAGCATGTGGATATATATTAACTGTTTACTAATGTTGCCAAAGTTACTTTTTGTGCTGTGTTGTGAAGGCAATATTGAATTACTGTATGTGCTTATGTATGTTACTAAATGAGGATAAAAGTTAGTTGTTTTTGCTGTTGTGTAAGTTTAAATAAAGATGATGATGGTCTCAATGAGATGTATTTGGAACTTGAAATGTCCTTGCTTCATATGGTGAGACAGTGTTGTTAGGATGTTGTATGAGGACTTCACATCCATAAACATTTGTGAGGCAAATGTTCTTGAAATTTATTGTTATGTGTTTGTACTGAGAATGGATCTAGATATATAACAAATACAACTCGGGATAATCTAATGCTTGCATGTTCTATGAAAAGCATTACTTTGAATAATGAAGAATAATGAATATCTATTAAAGCAAGTTTCCATAAAAAGCATAAGTCACATTTTTCTCTTGGTGGCTGTTTGGTTACTTATCAACTTTTTGTACTTACGTAAATATTATATATATTGTACATTCTTCTCATTTTTTTCTTGAATATGCTTTCCCCCCCTGTTTTTTATTCTCATAATTTTAATAGGTTTAATTTAAATCAGTTTTCTTGTATAGTATTTGCTACTATATGTTTAAATGTTAATTTTTGTTGTTTTACTAGGTCTGCTAGCAACTTTTTCATTTTTACTAATCTGTTCTATTTGTATTAAATGAAATAACTTAAAAGTTATGAGTTTATTTTTCCACCCTAGCTACCAATTCTTCTTTAGTATTAATTCTATTTAAGTCTAGATGCTCCAAAAATGTTTCAAAAACATTACTTGTTTTTTTTTTACATTTTTATAGCACATTTTTAGAAATGGATTTTCATGTGTCTTTTGCATGCCAGAAAGTGTTATCTGAAAAATGACACTGAAAATAAAATGCAAAAATATACTTTTATTTATGTTATTCTCAGGAGTTTTGTTAGGATCATTAAAATCTTTGATAGCAGTTTTCCTACAAATGTTACAAATTTCTAATTTATTTCATGTTTTATCTTCAAAGTTAGTGACATTAATACTGTCCTAAACTATGACATCAAGAAGTTCTGGCACAGCATTTCCTCGGAAGAATTACAGGTTAAGCACCGAGTCTGAAAAGTCAAAAGTTGCAGGTAGGAGCAATATTGTGGATTCTGGGGAGAAGTTACTTACCTTGTAGGTTTCTTTTGGTTCTAAGTCAATTATATAAAGGTCAAATACAAAGATACATATTTTATTTGAGATTGATTTGGAAGATCAGCTAAAATTATAAATCTTTAGTAGGAAAAAAACATCCCAGCTTGGAAAAAAGGTAATCAGATACAAAAAAGACATTTATTTTTTAACTCGTCATTAAGAAGAGGAAGTTTCAGAAAGCATATTGATTCATATTGCTTTCCAAATTGTGTAAATACAGTCTCATTAGTTGAATATTAAATATAATGGCACATACTTGGTTGTGACCTATAAAGCTTACATGGCATGGGGCCAAGCTACCTACAGAACTGTTTTTGTCCCATTATATCAACCTGTTCCACCCTAAAGAAAGGAAGATATGTTGCAGACCCCATCAGTTAAAGAATTCCAATTGGCAGAGCCTAGGAAGAGCGCCTTCTCTTCCCTTGCCCCGGTCCTTTGGAATCTCCCCCCCCCCCACCGAAGTGAAACAGGCCCCCACTCTCCTGTCCTTCAGCAAAGGAGTTAAAATAGACTCTGCAGTCTCTTGTGGGGAGCTCAAAGGAGCATGCAGCCATGGCGTTGGTTGGTGCTC